CCTCATCAGACTTCTTTCAGTAGGATTCGAATCGACGGTCCCACTGACTCAGCCAGTTGCCTACGCACTGGGCTAAGTTCGCCTTGTAAATTATCGTTGCCTTTTTCCCACATTTTTCATTTGTTAAGCCAACACAATCAAGCGCAGCTATTCCGATGCAATTTACACTTGATCATGTGGTTGTTGGTTTTTGTTAATAAATCTTTTTTTTAGAATGTTTAACTTTTAGGTGTGCTCGTCCTTAAGTTATTTGTTTTTGTTATTTTATGGCCTTATAACAATTATATTCAACAATTTTTATTGAGCTTGGGGCCGTTTTTAATGAAAACAAACAGAAATAACTTAAGGCAATAAACAATTAGAAAATTGCAATTCTTCAAATTCGAATATTCTATTACAATTCTAACTACTAATGTATTCAAACTGTTAGAAATTTGCAACCCTAGGTGTACTAAAAACAAGCACAGCTAACTTTAAGTATTTTTGTGAAAAATAAAATTAGCGTCATATTTGCGCGTACCTTCAGACCGTAAAGTTGATCGTTGTCTTTATTAAAAAAAAAACCCTCAGTAATTTTACAAGGCGCGTTAGCGCACATAGCGCGCCAGAATAGTTTTTCCTTCGTACACATACAAGCGTAGTGCTTGTATATAGCAGCGGCAGCAGTAGCACCCAAGGCGTGTGCGTACAATTTGGCAGCGGAGCACCCGCCGGCATACAACCAGCAGCGGCGGCATCGTGGGAGCACCCCCTTTTGTGAGGTTACCCGGACAGTCAGGTACGCCGCGCGGTTTTTAAAGCGAAGTGGAAAAGCCCACTTCACATGGCGACCGTGCCTAAGTCCGATGAAATGGACCCCGGCAGTGTGAAGACGAAAAGGGGCAGAGCCCCTAAAAATCTCAACACGTTTTAATAGGAAAAAAATTACAATTTTTACTACAAAAAAAAAATTACAAATTAAACGAATATACGCATAGATGAACAACATGAACTCTCGACACTAATTGAACTTGTGACAAATTAAAAAAAAAATAAAAATGTTACATAACTAAAAAAAAAAAAGAATGAAATATAATTTTATTTTCCTTTACTAAAAGTACATACATATGTACATACTACGGTGGCGGTAATCAAATAGAAAATAAATAATAATGCAGTGGTGGCGATGCAAGACATTCAAAATTTAAGAAACTAAAAATTACACAACAAAGTCAAAATACCTGAATACAAAACAATGCGTAAACAGTTCTAAAAAAAAAAAAGCGGTGGTCCCAAATTTTAAATACTTTTCAAACCAAAAATGGCTTAAAAGCGAGAAATTTGCAATTAAAACAAAATAAAAAAAACGGTAGTACCAAAATTTCAGCATAATTACAAACATTACATGCAAAATAGTGGGAGAAATAAGTGCAGTGGATAGTGGCGATATATACATACAAGGCATGCAAAAAGGCTGTGGTTGGTGACAAGCAAAAAAAAAATCCCAAAACTTTTTATTAAACGAATATACAGTAGCTGGTGGTACAGTAAACAGTCAGTGCAATTTGTAAAACTCAAGCACAAACAAACAAAAAAAAAACAAAAACAGCGAAAATTACTTTTTAAGGAGAGACTGTACTGACTACCACTGAACAATAATACCACCTAGCGGTACACAAAACCACGCCACTGAAATATGCCAAGCCACCACTGAACAATAATGCCCGTTACATAGCGGGGCATAAAGCCACGCCACTGAACAGCGTTACAACGGTATGCCAAACCACGCCAATAAGCATCATCAACACCATCACCGGCATTGAATACGGACAACAGTAGTTGTAGCCGCTACAACAACAACAATAACGGACAACAGCAAGAGAGAGAAGGAAAGGACAGCGGTAACGAGAAGCGGGTTGCAGTATGGTATGATGCACAGTGTGAAAAATTTCGAACGGTTTTTCCCTTTCAGATTTTTCAACATTTACATGTGTATATATACTTATAAAACCAATGTACTTACTACTTTTATATGTATCTACATATGTTAACCCTCAAACCGGCAACTTTGAAATAGTGATCAGAAATGGTTGGGAATTTTTTTCTGGCATAACTTGGGCATGATAAACTCAATGGGCCTCATGCATAAAAAGTTAGCTTAAGCTCAGACTCGGTTTTTGCACTGATGAAGTGAGTTCAAACTCAAGAATTTGTACTGAAAATCGAGTTGGAGTTTAAGCTCACTTTTTATGCATGAGGCCCAATGTCGTCATCTACATATATACCATTTTGTCGCTTGGTTTGACTTCCAGGTGAGATAAAAGAAACAGTGCCTCCAGGCACTCATATCGGTTAAAGCAAAAAATATGAACAGATAGAAATTTTATTAAGTACCAACGGTTTTATTCCAAAAAGTTTAGCAGTGCAATGGAATCTAGAAAAATGTGTTACTTTTTTGAGTGCTATTCCAAAAAGCAATTTTTTGCCGCAGATCAAATAAATATAAATTGCATACTTCGCAAATACATTGAGTTTGCGACTTTTTACAAAATTTGCACCATTTTTTGCCACTTTCTCGAGCCATTTAGGAAGTTGATTGTTACCATTGAAACGAACGTCATCAACATGATATACAGATTTTCAGCCAACACTCAGAGCAGCAGGTTGCGATTCATCTTGTGGAGAAGAAGGTTGACTTGTTGAAGATGGGCCACCAACCGAACGCGTTTGAGTGTAGCTCACAAGACCAGCAGCGATCTGTTCTCGGAATTCAGGTATCAATGAAATGATAAAAACGGCGGTCATTCCGTCCATCCCCATCTCGGAACGACGGGAATCTTTTTATGACTTCAAACCGTTTCAATGGCATCGTTTTGCGAATGGGTTCTAATGCATTCTTCATTAACTAGCTCTCTAAATTCGGGGAGCGATGTACTGGCAGATATCATCGACGTTCACATTGAATCTCAAGTTTATATCCTGATTAAGTTAGAGCATACCGGTTCGTCTCTTAAACAATCATTTCAATTATTTCTTTATGGAAAAAATATAGAAATAATTGCACCGGTCTTGAGAGCGCGCTTTTGTGTGCTCAGGTAAGCCACGAAATGCCACCTCATTTATATGAAGTTAAAGGTTTGTTTTGCGCCAGATGACTTTGCTGAGTTCAGCAGAATCCCTGTTTATTGATTCAATGTCTGCAATAAAAAATCCATACGATCAGTACGTAAAATCAATTTTCCAAAGATGTGAGAGAAACTCTTACTTCCAATCAAACCACCATTGGTTGGTACAACTGCTGGACCGGTAGCTTCGGCTATACTACTAGTCTCCACAGAATCCATAAATTCAAGAATTTCTTCGGCTGATAACTTCGACAATTTCTCACGCGACATCATGGAACGCTTTGCATATATTGTTATTTATTTACTTATTTATTTGTTATTTAGACACTTTATGAAAAACAGGTGAAAATTTTATAAAAAGTATTTGCCTTACCGGTAAAAAGCACCATAACTAAAACGCAATAGAAAAATGCGACGCGTAAAAAAATTCGCGCCGAACGACAAGAGTGCCTTGAGGCACACTTAGATTTTTTGCTATAGAACATAAAATCCAACTATTTTCAACACCGTAGCTATAAAATCGTGAAGCTTATGACTAAAACTTTACGGGAATAAAATTCTTGAGTTAAAAGAACGTCTCCAGAATAAAAATTTTCGATGCTGAAAATCTGAAATTTTTTAATACGAAAACACGACCACCTGCTCGCAAAAAACGGATTACAGAGGACAAACGGCCCGTCGGATTACATTCTAATTTGAGAAAGAAATGTCATCAAACATATGATCAAGAGCGTTGAACTCACTTGCGTAATGAAAAATTACATCTTCATATGCAAAAGGTGATTTTTGTGATCTTTTTACTTGAGGCACTCTTACCGGTTAGAGGGTTAATACACACTTTCAACCGTACATATGTATGAGGTACTATTTTAAATTGGGAATTTCAGCTTCAGCGGTACAGTAGTGTGCAAATCTTAATCAATTTTCCTTTTTAACGTAATTTGGCCATTTAAAAATTTTAACTCAAATTTTATTTGGTGCTTTGCATATTAGTCCGGATTCAAATTTTTGAATTTTGATTTTTGGTATTTTTGATCAATTTAAAATTTTAAATCGAATTTTCGCCTGTGCCATGCCGTGTTTTTTATACAAAATGTGTGCTACTTCTTAATTCTCGAAAGAAAACACCGTGACGTAAATAAAAGTTTGCGAAACCCAACCATTTTTCTTAATCAAAAAAAAATTTGTAAAACAAAAAAAAACATCTTTTAAATTGCATGTGAGATATCACGAAGGAAAACAACATCCCTTTCCTATCGCAGGTTATACCCCCTTATTGCATGCCAAATTTTCAGCGGACTATAACATTTGACTATTTTCTCAGTAAGTAATACATATATTCTTTTTAACATTAGGGTGCGGTGAGTGGTAGCTGGTTGTAACTATCGGTGCTTGAACTTTTTGAGGTTATCGGTTATTTCAGATCTCGAAATACAATTTATAGAATACCAATCTGATTTCGTTAAAATAACTAAGCGTATTTTGCAGAATTGACCACTATCGACAAACGCGGTTAAACTCAAAGAATACAAAGATTCGTTTATAACTTGTTATAATAAAATTGTGTTGCACGTAACCGGTAACAGTTCAACACATAACCTTAAAGAAGTACAAGCAAAGTTATCACGTTGCAAGGAGCTGCTAGTGAAGTGCTTTGTTAGGTTAAGTTGTGAGATTCCAATTCCAAAGGATGCATTAAGTCTTATATGCCAAACGAACGTAGTTGATTCGGAATCAGAAGAATTCGCTGACGCTGAGTCAGAAGCATCGCTAGATTTTTTTATCAAAAGAAGCTCATCACTTCCAGATTTCAAGCACTCATTATTTGTAGATAACGCTCCACCAGCAGCTACCAGCTCGCCTGATATTACCGATTTTTCAAAAAGTTTTTACAAAATGGCTACCATCGAACAGAAAAAGTCATTTATTAGTCTATGTTCATCAATAATTAATAATTTTCACGATAAAATAAGTTTAATAGAAGACCTAGCTGAAGAAAACCTAACCAGTACGTTGATAGCATTTTTAAAATCTAAATTAGAGGAAAAAGCTCGCGAAGCATTACCGACGCAAATACTATCAGTTAATGACATCAAAATTGCTCTACGTGGAAGGATTAAACCTGATAATTCCAAAGTTGTTGCAGGAAAAATTTCGGCGTTACATGTCAACAATAATAACTATACAGATTTTGCTGAACGCGTAGAAGAACTGGCCGACTCTTTAGAGCGTTCCTTAATTATTAAAGGAATGACTCAACGAAAAGCTCACGAAATGGCCGTTGAGCAAACCGTAAATGTTTGTCGATTAAATGCCAAGTCGGATCTAGTCAAGTCGATACTTTCTTCAACAACATTTTCCGATTCCAAAGACGTAGTAGCAAAGCTGATAGTGGAGCAAAATAACGAAGTAAAAGAGCGTCAGGTTTTAGCATTTCGCACACGCGGAAGTAGCTTTTCCAGAAATGTTCGTGGTAGTTTTCGTGGGCATAGTAATTATAACCCAAATCGCAATTTTACAGGTTATAGGAACAGGTTTTATTTAGGCAATGGAAATCAGCGCTATCGACCCGCTAACGGAAACACCTACCAAAGTGGCAGCAATAATAACCGTTTTAACAATAATCGTGGTAACAATAGGAACAACACCAATAATAGCAGATCTTCGAACAATAGGGGTAGAAATGCAAATGTCCGTGCTTTAAACGCTCACGCATCTCAGGAGCGAACACTGGGGGAGCAGGAGCTAGACCACTAAACGATTTTTCTATAACAAAAGGCATTTACTGCTTAAATCTAAATTATTCAGATTTTATTCAATTGCACATTTCCGGGTCAAATAAATTATGCACATTTTTGGTCGACACCCAAGCCGCCATTTCTGTAATTAAAATTTCAAGTTTTAACAACAATTTTCCAATTGATATAGATGATATCATCCGCATCACGGGCGTCACTGCTAACACTGTTTCCACTCTGGGTAAAAATACGACAAATTTAACTTTTTCCGACTTTTTTATAAAACATACGTTACATGTGGTTAATGACGGAACTGAAAGCGATACCTGCGTAATTCCTCCCAGATGCGAAGTTTTTCGACTTTTCAATTTAGAAAGTTCGCCGGAACCACTTTTTTTGGAGTCACAAGAAATTGATAACGGTGTATTCACGGCAAGGTGCATAATTAGTACAAGTCAAAGTCATAAATACTACAAGTGACATAAAATACGTAAAGAACTGTAACATCCGGACTGAAAAACTCTCTAATTTCAATGTTTATTCAATTAATAAGACAAGAAACGATGACAACCGGACAAAAGAACTTATTAAGATTTTGAAAAAAACAGATGCCTAGTAGTGAAAGCGAATTGCTCAACTTGTGCGTAGATTACGCAGATATATTTGCACTTCCGGACGACAAAATGACATGAAACAACTTTTACGAGCAAAAACTAAGATTGCCGGACAATAACCCAGTTTACATTAAAAATTTCCGATTACCATATTCCCAGCGTGAAGAAATAAACCGTCAAGTAAACAAGTTATTAGAAAATGAATTAATCGAAGAAAGTTACTCAAATTATAATAGCCCTTTAATTGTTGTTCCGAAAAAAGACACTAATGGTCAAAAAGCGTACCGCATGTGCGTCGATTTCCGTGCTGTTAATAAGAAACTGATTGCCGATAAGTTCCCTCTTGCGCGAATAGATGACATTTTAGACAACCTTGGCCGAGGGAAGTATTTTTCAACTTTAGACCTCTTTTCAGGATTTCATCAAATCCCTTTACACGTTGACTCACGTGACGTAACATCCTTTAGCACCGACCGAGGAGCATTTAGATGGATAGTATTACCGATTGCTTTTTCCGGTATTCCGCCCAATGTGGCATTTCTTTTCGTCGACGATATAATCGTAATTAGTTGTAGCGAAGCACATCACATTAAAAATCTGTCAAAAGTTTTCAATACATGCAGAGCTTTCAACTTAAAACTCAACCCAAATAAATGCAATTTTCTCCGGCCAGGAGTTACATTCTTAGGCCATAAATATTCAGCCAAAGGTCTGTTGCCAGATGACACCAAAATAAATGCAGTTAAACAAGTAATTTTTAGCAAAAAAAAACCGACTTCAACTCCCATATAAAAAAAAAAAATATATATATATATATCTCATGATCCACTGATCGGATCTCAACCCTCAACCAGATTAGTATGGGACCACCTCTGAGACACTACCTTTCCGATGCAAAAAGAATTATCGAAATCGGTTGACGTGGTCCAAAGTTATGCGGTAACATAGATAGAAAAAAAAAAAAAATATTCCGACGAACTGATAACCTCCTCCTTTTTTGGAACTCGGTTAAAAATATACAAAACCGACTGATAAAGACGCGGTTAGACGATTCGTCGCATTTGCTAACTATTACAGACGGTTTTTACCAAATTTTGCGGACTTCACAAAACAATTTATTATTACTGTCGATGCCTCAAAAATTGGGTGCGGTGCTATTCTGAGCTTCTAAAGCATTCAATAAATCCGAACAGAAAAAGCCAATCATAGAATTGGAACTTTTAGCCATCTATTTTGCAATCAAACAACTTCGACCATACGTTTACGGAACTCATTTCATTGTTAATTTGGACCATAGGTCTTTAGTTTATTTATTCAATATGAAGGATCCAGCCTCAAAACTAGCTAGGATACGGTTTGAATTAGCCGAATACAATTTCACCATCGAGTACATTAAGGGTAAAGCAAACGTAGGTGCAGACGCACTTTCACGCATTCATTTTAATGAAATCAGGGAATCGACGAAGCACGTACTTGCAGTTAAAACCAGAGCTATGACGAAACAATGTTACGGTAAAGACTTACAAAACAAAGATTATACAGACAATTCAACTCAGACAGTAAAAGTTTACGATAAATTCGCATACAATTTTTCAAAAAAGGTCCCGCGTATTAGATCACTAATAGTTTATGATAATAATAATGAAATTTCAACTTTAAAAATTTATGCGCATATAAAACATAAGAAACTCGAGTTACTTAATGTTGAGACTGCTAACAAAATAATGAA